AAAAAAAAAAAACATTTGCATTTGATTTTTAAAAAATTAGTTTGATGCATTTATTGATTACCACCATATTTGATAAACAAACAAATTTGCATTAAATTATAAACATTTAAAAATATATATTTTTAATGATTTAGGAATTCAGAAAAATATGATAGAAAAGAAAATGTTTCATAATTATTACAATTTGAATAAACTATTTACTTGTTCAGGTTTAATGAATTAAATTAATTAGACATGCTTTTTGATTTTTAACAATAATTAAATCATTAAAATGGAATCCAGAGAAGTTAAAAAAGAAAACACAGAATTTGGGAAAAAACAAAACAGAATTTGGGGGGTAAAAAAATGATTTCATAGGGGCCTAATACACGTTTGAATGCCACATAAAATCCCAATTCTTTCAAAAAAAATAAAAAATAAAAGCTAAATTGAGAATTTTATGAAAAATTCACTTTTGGAAAACATGCATCCTAAAAAGGTTCCATGACTTTAGGATGCTGTCTACTCAGGCAGCTCATTACGTGTTAGAACAGAGCTATTGTGATATTATTCAATCTATTTCCGTGTGTGATCCCTGAGGAGATGGAACCGAAACGGCCGTCACTTGCTCTAGATTCCAGGACAATGCTGCTCCTGATTTATCCCAGGCCAAACTCTGTCTGACCCATTTTACCCGCTTTCCAAAAATGCAAGATATCACCTTTCTGAGACAAACAATGGCCAAGGTCTCAAATGAATACTGAGGGCAATTTCTGAAATTACACTATTCCAGAAAAAGGACCAAATCTTAATAAAAGTCATCATTGTTTCATATTTCATTCAGAAAGGATCACCTCAGTTTCTACCAGCTCTGAAAAGAAACACACAGACCTCATTACTACAGTAATCTAACCTGGCGTTATCAGTTCTCCACTGAGACTTATTATAAAGCAGCATACATGTTTATCAATAAGAGAATGTAAAGCCTAAAAATGAGTCTCTATGTGTGTGTGTGTGTGTGTGTCAAGGCTTTTGCTCATTACTTGATGGTAAGGGAGACCCAGTGGTGTTTAACCCAGAAATTACCTGACAGCAAATCTGAAATCGCAAGCTTAAGTATTACAGACACTTCAAACTTCAAGCTTTATGCGGCTTATAAAACTGCAAAAAACAATCCTAAACATCTGCTACATCACTGAAACGCTAATGGTTTGATCTTTGGTAAATGTCATTAATGGCAGCCAAGTGTGACTGAAATCATCCGACATATGCACCATCTAAACAAACACCAGGCTATTGTGACTTTAACCTGACACCCGTGGGGCGTGTTTGTGTGAACAACTGATTTTGCCTTCATGTAGCTCGCTAATAAAGGCTTTTCATTTGACCCATATTTGCCCAAGGGGTGCAAAAACAATCAAAGCTCTGAACGAAGTCAACATCAACTAGTCTATACTTCTTAGGACAAAATATAGACCTGTTTGCATAGTTACAATATATGAAACCTTTCCTCTCGAGATTAGACATAAAATGCATGAACCGAGCCTGTTCTGGCAGGTTTTGAACACTTTCTCTAGCATTTTCTCTCCATTCCAGCACAGGACATAAAACTCTACCAGCTCATGAACCTTTGCTCTGAGGCCCATGCCTGATTAGCTTACTAATCTGTGTCCTGAATGCTGGGCTGCGCAGGCTGGTTAAGTATGTAGTGACGGCAGAACAGAATAAACAAGAAGAGTACACAGACACCAACCACATACAGCAGCAATCAGTATTAATGAAATCATATTAAGGTAGTTAACACAAACTTTAGAATGTTCAGTTATTTAGACAACAAACAAACTAATGATGAACAGGGCTCAACATATGACAGCACACAGGCTTTATTTAAAAACAACAATAGCTAGTTATTAAGTCAAAGTCCAAGAAGTGTTGTTAGTGCACACTGACTCTTATGGAAGCCTGCTTCTACCATGAAATTAAATACAAATTTAAATAAATGAATGCAATTGTGACTTTACTCACAATTCTGACTTTGTCTCAAATTTGAATTTACATCTCAGAATTACCCTAATTTTATTTATTTTTTAATCTGTGGTGGAAACAAGCTTCCGTAGACTCTATTTCAAAGTAAGCACAGTCAAATTATCCACAAATTCATAGTATGCTGCAGTGAGCACATACCATAGATTATGTAGGTTAAGGAGGATTTAAGGAAATATCCTCCATTTGGGCAATCTGATATTCAAATAAGCACAAACAGATAGATAGGCAAACTAAAATACAAACACAGGCACACATGCAGTGTGACACAGCAGTAGCCCTTTTATTTTTATACTGCTGTTGATGTTGTCCATCTTGGCTCTGCTGTGAACGGTTTCCATGCCAGTGTGTGCAGCAAAGAAGAACTGCCGAGGTCCGAAGTCAAAACATCGGATAAATGCTATGTAAATCAGGAGCCTGCTTTTGTAACACAAGATAATATATGGAAGAAGGGAGAAGAAAGATACCCGTTTAAACTGAACGCTTGTTTACCATCTTACTAGCCAATTTTGTATGTGCTGCAAAATCTCAATTTGCACACCATCCATCCAAAATAATATCTGAGATTAGGATTAACGCGTCACACATAACATTGCAAAGAGTCTGAATGGTGTCCAGTGGCCTGTAGCACGAAGCCGGTTTCAGTTTTTACCCAGGTAAGTTCACGTTTAGTTTGAGCAAACTCTTGAGTTTTCGGGCTCAAGAAGATGGGTTGGTTTTGAGCGGGTTTAATCACTATGGTAACTTGCACTACACGGTCAGCTACCCTGCTCTGGAGCAGGTTTTATTCTGGGTTAGAGATCGCAAACCCAAACCTGACCAATCAGCTGTGAGCAAAGTGACAAATATCTGATGCAATGAAGCCACTCCCCCGTATCTCTCACTCCAAATTAAAGCAGTTTACAGTCAAAGAATTTTAGAGACAAAATTGCCCGACTTTTGCAGCTACTTATTATATTTAGATTATATTAATTGTAATTGTTTATAATTCATATAATATATTCATATAATTATTATATGAAGTGGCAATTAATTTTAAGCTTCGTATTTAAATTAAATATTATACACACACACGCACATACATATAAGCTTTAATATATCCAACTTAACATGACTAAACTTATACTGTTTTCCTTTTGAGCTCTGTGTGAAACTATATATAATAATTACATTCAGTTGATTCCTTTGCAGTCATATTTTCTTTCTGCTGCCAAACTTTAGCTGCAGCAGAAGTGTTTATTCCTGCCTTGTAAATGCATTTAAATTTATTACATTTTTAATAACGACATCTCATAATCTTGAGCAGAAAAGTGAATTGCGCCAACTCTCGCGAGAATTGAATCCAAGTGACGCTTTGCTGATGCTCACCACGTTCCAGGTGATTGGCTGTTTGACGCACGTGTCACACTTTCAAGTGCACGCGCTCCAGAGTTAATCACAAACTCTGGTTCAAACTCTGATTTGACAGAAAAAGTTTATATCGAGCTTTGTGAGCCCGGTGAACCTGATCTGAACCAGGTTGGTTTTTCGGATTTTGTCAACTCAAAACTTACTCTGCAACTCTTAGTTTGTTCATCTCGCTTTGTGCTACAGGCCACAGGAGCATCTTCCTGTTTCCCAGGTGTCAGATGATCCAACTTTAGGGGCAAAGGTCAGAGTTGAGCCTTGTGTCGCTGACCTTGAGTTCACTTGCTTGTGGGAAGACTGACTTATGAAATCAAATGCGACCAATAACATGTCCTTACCCCCTACAGCGCATGCTTTAATCCGGGTAAATGGCAAACGTCTTCACGTGGCACAATCACATCTACAAAAACAATCCAGAATCCAACAGGACAGAGCACCTTCTGTTTGATTAATGTGAGCAAGTAACATAACTCAACTAAACAATTATGCTGTACTCATGGATACTATCATAGTTTGATTTTGGTGAGGAACTGCTTCATTTAGTGCTACAAAGTTAAACCTGAATGACTTCTGGTGACCATCATTAACCTGCAAAAAGGCCTCCAAAAAGGTGCTAGGGGGTCCACAAAAAAAAGCAAGAAATAACCAAATATGTAAATGCTTTAATAAAAAAAATATGGAAAAAGTGAAACAGCACTATAGAAATATTTTTCAAAAATTCTAATATGGAGAAATAAGTATGGAAGCCCATTTCTGCCAAGGATTAAAATAAAATAAGATAATTGTGACCTTTTTTTCCCCACAACTTAGACTTTTGAATTCTGAGAAAAAAAAATGCAGAATTGTGAGATAAAAAGTCACAATTACCCTTTTTTATCCCATGGCAGAAACTTGCATTAAAAAGATAACCTGAAAACTAAATAAAAATGTATTTTGCAAATAATTTTAATTTATTATGTATAATTTAAAAATGTACATATTACTTAAATAATATTTAGCTTTAGCACAATGAAAAATTGTTTACTTTTGAAAGCATGTTCACAAAACATCTACAATGTACATTTGTTCATACACAAAATCAATATTGCACTTTTTATTACATTCTAGGAACTGTTTCCTTGCAAAGAGGATTATCATATTTGGGGGAACTTGGCATTAAAAAGCTTAAAAACATCTGGTCTAGGAAACAGTGAAATGCACATCACTGACAGCTCTTACCTTGAATCTCACTCATAGTTTGGAGAATACTGGAAAATCTCATGCAAACCTCTTGTCTACATCACCAAAGAAGACATCCTAATCCAATTCGATCAGACACGACCTCATGCATGCACAAAGTCCAAAGGATGCAACATCCATCATAGGCTGATGATTATGTGTGTGCTCATTCATGGTCAAATAAAGAGAGGAATATGGAGACATGGATGAGAAAAACTGGACTTTCACCCAACCTCTTCAATCTGAGACTGATCGAGAGGAGATAGTAGATCCCCCTCTTTGAGCGTGTAAATGTGAGATTATAAATCACAATTGTGTGTGTGATTGCTGTGTGTGCAGTACAGAACAAATACAAGATTAAAGAGAGAGAGAGAGAGAGAGAGATCAGCGATTAGAATGCAATTCTCCACATGGCACCAGAATATGTGTGTGTGTGTGTGTGTGCGCGCGCGTGTGTATTGGGGCGGGAAGGCTCAGAGATCTGAGCAGCTTAGCAGCAGCTAAAGCTAAGCTTACAGAGAACAGAAGAGAGAGCAGAGGAGCCTTACCCTCACCAACCAGTACAAGACAAATCAAACAGGACCCAATTTAACCCATTATATTATTCCAGGGTGTGTTAGACAACATCTAAAAGGATTTCACACCACCTAACATTCAGAGTACTCATCGAAACAATGTGAAATGATAGAAACAAATATGCAAGTCAATTTGAGTCTGAATTTTCACATGGGTTTCAATAAAGTAGACCTATTGTTTCTTTAACTTAACACCTTTTCCCTTGAATGCAGTTTTTCTCTCAGCAAGTGATCCAATAAGCAGCTTGGACCCATTTAGTGCACCGTCTAGATTTACTGCCCTTCCTCCCCTGCAAAACAATGGGGTGCTAGTTTATCCAATGAGCACTTTGGGAAATGTACAAGAAATAAACCACAGCATAGCAACACAGTATACGAGTACAGAACAAGGCTACATTCACATTCAGTATTTGGGGTTGACAACTGCATTTACTAACAGGCGTGACTGTTGAAATGTCCTGTTCGTACAACAGCTAAAAAAAGACCTGCCCAAATACTGAAGGCCCTTTTCAATTAGGACTGGGTAAAAAAAAACATTTCAATTTTAATCGATTCTCATATGTAACAAACGTTCGTAGATCGGGAAGGAGGAGGCAGGAACCGGCAAACATTTAAACATAACTTTAATAATAAAATGAACACAAAACTGAAAATAGCGAACAGAACCAAAACAACAACATAAAATCCAGGCCTGGTCCTCTCTCGCCCAACACTGTCGTCACTCCTCTTTTTATCCTTCCAGAGCTATAAGAAGCTATAGCAATATAAACAACAAGCCAAAACGAATTCATTAATAATCTTGTCGGTTAACGGTTAATAATTGGTTAAGGAGCATTGGTTGTCGGTTAGGAAAAATAACCGAAATTAACATCCCTGCTCCCGAGACTGCGCTCCCGAGACTGCGGCCGCGGCATACCCTGGGGTAAGGACAGATGAGGCGAGAGAAAAAGAGATGGAAGGATGAGGAGAGACAGAGATGAGAGAGGGGAGAGAGGAAGAGAAAAAAAAATCTCAGTCCGGAAAAATAACCGAAATTAACATCCCTGCTCCCGAGACTGCGGCCGCGGCATACCCTGGGTTAAGGACAGACGAGGTGAGAGAAAAGGAGATGGAAGGATGAGGAGAGACAGAGATGAGTGAGGGGAGAGAGGAAGAGAAAAAAAAATCTCAGTCCAGTTCCCGGACACACTGCCGCTTGGTCCTCAACCAGCTGAGACGCTCTTACTCGCGGTGCCATGCGATGGTACTGGACATCTTTGGTGAACGGCCCGACACTCCTCCGCCTCCTGGCGGATGGCGATGGCTCCTCCGGTCGATGGCAGCCGGCAGCAAGACCCCCGTTCCCTGCTCCTTCCCAAACATGGCGAACGGCGCCGACTCCTCCGCTCCCTCTCGGACAGCAGCCACCCCTCCTCAACCTAGGAGCACGGCAGCGAGCCCTCCTTCCTCCCGGGTTTCGGCACCAATGTAACAAAGTTCGTAGTCACGGGAAGAAGGAGGTGGGAACCGGTGAACATTTAAACATAATTTAATAACAAAATAAACAAAACTGAAAATAGCGCGACAGCCCCTCACGGACGACTGCCGCACGCAAACAGAACCAAAACAACAAATAGTCATAGGCCTGGTCCTCTCTCGTCCAACACTGTTGTCACTCCTCTTTTTATCCTTCTGGAGCTCCTCCGTGGGACTCGAGACCGGTGAGTGGCACAGGTGTCGCTCAT